ATGGACCTCAGAACCGCAGCAAACCGAAACACCATGCCCTAAAACGTATTGGGGTTTCAGGGCTGAAGGGTGCACGATTAGAGGGTTTAGGGTTTAGGGTTTAGGGTTTAGGGTTTAGGGTTTAGGGTTTAGGGTTTAGGGTTTAGGGTTTAGGGCGTGAGAGTGCAGGTCCGCACTTCCCGGTCTCTTTACCTCAGGGCTCACGTCTCAATCTTCATGTCTGACTCTGACTCTCCAGGAGACTGGACATCTTGAACCCCACTCAGGGTCTAGGCAGTTCCCCGCTGGAGTTGTGTATTCTTTGGGCAGGCAAAATTTGACGTGGTGCCCCGGAAATATGTCAAGCTTTTCGGGAGACCCCCCCTCCACACTCCGCCCAAAACTGCCCTCGTCACCCGCCATTGAACAGAGCTGGTTCAGGGTTTAGGGTTTGTAGGGCTTACAGGGTTTGCGGGGTTTCAGGAGTTTTTACGTTTATATTCCCAACGCAGAGAGGTAGTTCCGACCCCAACAGTCTGCAGCTTGTATCTCTTCTGCTTTTCCTTTGGGTTTAGGGTTTCGGGTTTAGGGGTTTAGGGGTCTCCATGGGGTTCAGGGTCTAGGGCTTAGAAGGTGGAGGCATGGCAGACATGCAAAAGCAAGCTAGTAAAAGTAGACCCGATTGCCCCTATCATCTCAGAACATCCAGGGGTTGTTCTAAAGGATCCCTTAGAAGCAAATGTAGCTTCTGTGGCGTGTAGTAATTACATGTTTAGGGTTTAGGGTTTAGTGATAGTGTTTAGGGTTTAGGGTTTACGGTTTAGGGTTCGGGGTTTAGGGTGCTTAAAACCCCGAGAACCCAAAGCACCAAATGCTTCCTGGACGCGACCCTGGGCAGCGTCGGCCGCTCCCCGATTTGGGACGGCCATCGCTTTGAGGTTCAGGGTGTTTAGAACCCAATTGTAAGTGCACTTATCACCCACTTATAAGCCCCTTAGGTACCCTAATAGGATTATAGTTGGGCAAAAAACTACCCTAAACCCTAAAGCCTAAACCCTAATAGGGTTATAATTGGGGAATAGGTGCAGAATTGATTGGGTCACTAAGTACCACGAACCTCAGCAGCCTGCGGCCATTTTGCCGGGTTTGGCAGACGGAGCTCTTTGGTTCAAGCTTCGGGGTCTAGGGTTTTGTGGTTAGTGGTTACCCTAAACCCTAAACCCTAAGCCCTAAATAAACCCTAAACCCTAAACCCTAAACCCAGGGACTAAGGTCTAAGGATTGGGGTTTGGGGATGGGCAAGACAGTAGGTTTTAGGGATGAAGGGTTTGAGTTTTCTGGTTCAAGCTTTGTCAGTCAGCACGGGGTCCTCCGGTAATAGCCTTACTTCAGTTGTTGTGGTGGTATGGGGGGGTGCACATGTAACATACCGGAGCATACGTACCCTAAACCCTAAACCCTAAACCCTAAACCCGGGGCTTTATAGCCACTCCCACCTCACTCCTTCCATGTGTACGAGCTCGCCAGAATTTGGACTCAGAAGGTGTACGGCAGCTTGAGCTCTGTAACGATACGGCTGTCTTCCTTGCTACCGGTCCAAGAACCATTGCTTGGCTGCTTAGGGTTTAGGGTTTATAAGCTTAGGGTTTGAGGTTTAGGGTTTAGGGTTTAGGGTTTAGGTATCAGGGTTCAGGGTTGGGGTTTAGGGTTTAGGGTTTAGTGATATCTTGTGTCTAGCCAGTCGGGACAAGGCCGTGGGATCAGTTCACTTCGGGATCACGCAGCGCCATGTGCTCAGTACTTCCGAACCCACTGTAATCTTCAGGCCCTAAACCTGAACACTAAACCGTAGTCAGCGACGACTTTCCCCCTACATGCTGCGCTTGGTGATCCCGAAATTTCACTCCGACATTGCAGCCCGCCAAGTGGGCCGTGTTGAAGGAAAACCCATAGGGAGCCTTAAAGTTAGAGGGTTCTTCATCTTAAGGAAGGGGCTAATACTCCACACTCCCTAAGGCTCCCTAAGCTTCCCTAAGGTTCCCCAGGTACATAGCCCAAGATTCTCCTGGCCACTAAATGTCAAGGGACTACAGGAGGGACCCTTATAACGGACCTTAGGGGCTCTTTGCGGGCTATGTAGGGGCTACTTAGGTATACAGGGACTTTTTCAGGTATAACCCTTATCTCTAAACCCTAAACCCTATAAACCCTAAACCCTTAATGAGGGTCCCTTCTAGGGGCTTGGGTTTGGGCACGGGGTGGAAACGGGGAAGGAGGCTTAGGGCTTAGGGCTTAAGAAGGGCAGGGATAGAATTTCTTTCCTTTTTGCTTTTGGAGCTTTGCTCGAGTTTTTGCGCCTTGGGGGGCTTGAATAAGCCCCGAAGCCCGAAACCCTAAGCCCCCCAGAGTCAGCGCAGAGTTGATAGATAGACAAGATTCCAGCAATGGGTGCATGGCAATCATGACCACTGTTACCGTACGCCCCTGTCCAGTGAATCGGATCAAGAGGTGACGCCTCATTTGTCAAACCCGAAACCCTCATCCCTTATGGCCCTAAGCCCTAAACCCTAAACTTTAGACCCTCTTCACGTGGCCACAGAATGTCCAATGGCCTTTGCACAGCCACTTCTCAACCCTAAACCCTAAACCCCAAGCCCCAGAAACTTTAAACCCTAAACCCTGTCGGATGTAAAACCACCTCGCCATGGCGGGTGCAGCGGATTTCGAGGCGTAGGGTCTCCAAGTTAGCCCTAAACCCTAAATCCTAAGCCCTGAAGCCCGAAAGCCCTACGCAGATTCAAGGCTTACTAGGGTTTAGGGGCTTCTAGGGTTTGGGCTTACCCTAAGCCCCAAACCCCAAACCCTCAACCCGAAAACCCCAAACCCGAAACCCGAAAGCCCTAAGCCCGAAAAACCTAAACCCTAAACCCTAAACCCTAAACCCTAAACCCTAAACCCTAAACCCTAAACCCTAAACCCTAAACCCTAAACCCTAAACCCTAAACCCCACACACCCAACTTCTAAAGTTGTGGGGGTCGGCTCGGCCTCTCTGGGGCCTCTTCTGGCATCGCTCGGAGCTCTGGGCGCCCCCTGAGAAACCAAGGCCCAAACGGCTTCGTGGGGAATGAGGGAAGCAGCTAGCTCAAATTCCCCTATGTAAGCCCTTTCAGGGCTTAGGTTTTAGGGTTTAGGGTTTAGGGTTCAGGGTACCTAACTAGGCCCTTGGGAAATTTCATATTTTCCCGTATTTTGATTTAAGAGGATCATATTCAGGAATATTTTTTTCAGAGGGTTTTAGGGGCCATCCTACTTAATTCCCGCTGAGAACCAGTGAGTAAGTTGCCATCTTGGCCGATGCCGTGTAGCTGCCCAGTCGGCAAAGTTTAACCCTTTTCGGAATTTTTTGCCTTTTTCCCCAGTCCTAAAGGGACTTGAAATGGGAACCTCAAGCAGGGAACCCCAAGAATAGTATAGGAATATACCTACCAGGATCCTTCTATTCCCTTATTTCTGTTCCTTATATATTTTGGGGGTTCCCTGTTTGGGGTTCCCGTTGGGATCCTGCTTTAAATCCTGGCCAAAATGGCCTCTGATGGCTTCCCATGTTCCTGGAAACGTGCCCTGCTGAATGAGCGCCTGTTCTGGAGGGGTCACTGGATGCGGCCTGCGCACGTCTCGAGCGTTTCCGCGCTGCGCCCTTTCAGGTCGTGCCCAGACTTGTGGAGCGCAGCAGTTCTAGCACCTTGCTTGGAGGTTCATGGTTACATATGCGTAGGGATATAAGTAGGGTAGCTATGGCTTATTTAGGGGACTTACAACCCTACTTATAAGTAGCCATGAACCTTCAAGTGGGGACCAAAGTAAGCAAAAAGTTGGTGTTTCTGATACCCTATACTACAGTTACTACAGAATCCCCATTAAGCTGTATGAACCATCGACCCTTTTCGGGTTCGTTGGGTCCCTCAGGCAGAAGCAACCGGAATTCTGAGCCAGTTCGTGCCCAGGGCCACCCGAAATCACCGGATCTTTAACTTGACCAACGCCTCGCAGTGGAAGCGGATCTTGAACGAGGCGAAGCAGTGGTTGCAATGGGGCGAGAACCATCTCAGGCGTCTTCTGCTGGAAGAACCTAGTTCATGGTTGGGCTAGTATGAAAAGTTTAATTTACATTCCTTATTGGGTTTAAGTACCTTTATAAAAGTGTAAAATGTTACCCAACTATGGCAAAGGAACATCTCCTCTTTCACTATCATCCCTCCCACTGGTCCTCCGCACCCTTCTTCCGTGCCAAGGGCTTCCTGGTCGCCCAGTGGTACCCCTTCCACTTCTTTTGTTGGTTCTGGGTTCCCTTATATGACGTATCTAACCCCCGAACAGGGCTACCCTAAACCCTAAACCCTAAACCCTAAACCCTAAACCCTAAACCCTAAACCCTAAACCCTAAACCCTAAACCCTAAACCCTAAACCCTAAACCCTAAACCCTAAACTATAGTATGGTTGCTGGGCTACCAAGGCTTTGTCAAGGCAGCGCAGAGGGCTGCGCCGCTGCTCAGCGCCGATCTTCGGCTTCGCAAGCTGCCGAGGCATGGAGAGGGGGACCAAATGAACCCGAAAGTTGGGGTCATATACCCCATAGTTAGGGTTTAGGGTTTAGGGTTTAAGGTTTAGGGTTTAGGGTTCAGGGTTTAGGGGTATTTTTCGAAAGTCCCCAATGAAGGTCTATGAAACCCCAAGCCCTTTTAGGGTTCCTTTGGTCCCCCCAAGGAAGGACTGGTGGGGAGCACTGGAGCTTCAGCTGCCCTCGGACAGGCCGTTTAAAGTGCCAATGCCCAGCTTCTTGCGAGACGCCTCAGCGTGCACCCTCGATCGGAGTCTCGCAGATTCTTAGGCAGCTGAAGGAGTACAAATTTACACTTTATGGGATAGTACAGTCCCTATTAGAGCTGAAAGTGTGGTCTTTTTTGCGACAGGCTTAGGTTTCAGGCCAGTCCTACGTGGGATGGCGCCATAGGATTGCAGATGCGGCGGTTGCTCGCTTCTGCTCAGGCCACATTCGCCTGCATACATCAGGGCCATACTAGCAATGCTAACCCGAGACTGCTGCACCACTTCATGTTCACTGGCTCTCACCTAGTCTTCTCGCTGCTGGACCGTCTAGACTGCAGAATCTGGTCGGCTGTGAGCACACAGCAACCCAGTCCTTTCTGGATGCGCCTCTTGCCCTCGTCATTCTCGGAGGCGAATACTGTGCGAGGCCGCAGGCAGTTCCACCGTGACGGCGCATTTCAAGATCTTCTCCAGGATCTCCTGAAGGCTGGAAACTCCACAGACTCCAGTTTCCGTTTCTGGGCTTCTTGTTTCAGAAGTTGACAACAAGGATACAAAATGTATGTGCTATTGCATCTTGCAGAAGTGTGCTGTCGTAATGTTTAAGTTCCTTAAAACAACCACACAGGATTTGTGGAGGTTGGGGCATCCTTGGGTGGTTGCACCTTCCACGTCTTGACCTCGGTCCGGGCTTCTGTGGCTGTGGCTGTGGAGCCGTACCAGCCGACGGTAGAGGCCATGAAGCAGACGGCGTCTTGGAACGGCCTTGGCAACCGCCTGACTGTCCACCAAACTTTCGTGTCAGAGGGACAGGGTGCATGCAGAATCTCCTCCCTGCAAAACAATCACGAGACCAGAGCTCCACATTGGGACTTTGGTCAAGAAGAGTTCCCTGCCGGCACAGCCACGGAGTGCGCAGTGGCGACTTTGGAACACATCCTCACCTCGACTTTGGGGACTTCAGAACTCTAGACTTGCTTCGTGTGCATGTGGATGGCCGGGAAGAGACGGTGCTGAAGTCCCTCGGTGATCGCTTGCGGCCGATGTGGGTCCGGGCCATTGCTTTGGCCACGTGGCGTGCTCGCGAACCAAGGGCTGGGCACGTCTACGACCCGGCTGCCGTCGCCGAACTTCTCCGATCACGCGGCTACGAGCTGCTTTTGACACCGACCCTTGAAAAGGAGCCCCTAAGGAATGAGGATGTTGTCCTGGCCCTTCGGCGCGGAGTAGAAGCCACAGGCATCATGACCCTCATAGCGTCCGACCCAGATTTGCGAGTGCCGAGACAAGAGAGCCTTACCAAGCTTTATTCCTTCTGTCACGCTCTGCGGTACGGTATAAACCAGCTCTGGCTCTTCCAACCCCTAAGCCCTACCTAAAAAAAACTTCCGCCTGCCCTCTCAACAGTTGTGGCACATTTCCCATTTTGAAGCCTAAACCCTGAACCCTGAACCCTACGCCCTAAACCCTAAACCCAAGATCGAAATCAGTTACTCTTCCGTGAACTGCAGACCCTAAAACCCTCCAAGCCTCCTTCAGGAACTCCAGCAACCGCTGTTGGCCTACCGCCGGCCCGGCCGCGATGGGGGAGGCTAAGGGGGCAAGGTTTCAGGTTAAGGGTTTAGGGTTTCGGGTTCAGGGTGTGGGGTTAGGAATCTAGGTTTTGGGGTTTAGGGTGTAGGGTTTAGGTTTTAGGGTTTCGTGTACCTAGAATGGCCGTATACATTTGGCCGTATACATTTAGAATTCTTACTAGAACTAGTAGGGAACGAGGGACCTGGGAACCCATAAAATCCCCTTAAGGGCTACACAGGGGAAGAAAAGGTACCCAATTCCCTCATATCCTACCAGTAGGACGAGGGTAAATCTTCCCAAGAGTTATAGCACATGTCCCTTTTGTAAGGGTATGTCGCCTTCTCTAGGTCGGGCCTTTGTTTATGATAGAAGTTGAAGCTTTTTAGGAACCTGCGTGTTGAGTTTGCTGCTGGCTTTGTTTCTGGTAACTTTACACCTCAAAAGAAGCCAATGAGTATGCTACCCTAAACCCTAAATGCTAACCCTACACCCTAAACCCTAAACATTCTTGTAAGGCTATAGAGGCTACTTTTCGGAAGACCTGAAGGATCAGATTTTGATTTTTTTGCCCTGAATCCAAAGCATGCAGCCTCCCCCCGACGCTCAGATCTAGGGTTCAGGGTTTCGGGTTTCAAAGTTCGGGTTTAGGGTTTAGGGTTTAGGGTTTAGGGTTTAGGGTTTAGGGTTTAGGGTTTGGGGTTTTCTGAGGTTGTGTGAAGCTCCAAGCCGTACACTGTAGGGTCGCATTATAATATGTTTGTAGACACGCCCCCCTAAACCCTAAACCCTAAACCCTAAACCCTACACCCTAAACCCTACACCCTAAACCCTAAACCCTAAACCCCCTAAACCCCCTAAACCCTAAACCCTAAACCCTACACCCTACACCCTAAACCCTAAACCCTAAACCCTAAACCCCAAACCCGACACCCTAAACCCTAAACCCTAAACCCTAAACCCTAAACCCTAAACCCTAAACCCTAAACCCTAAACCCTAAACCCTTGATTGAAAGGCATAAGGCTGAAAAGCAGGGTTTGGGGTCCCATCCCCCTAAGGCTTTGCCTCTCCACCAGGTCCTCTACGAGCGCCGCCACAGAAGTGGAGGCCCAGGGTTTAGGGTTTAGGGTTTGGGGTTTAGGGTTTGGGGTTTAGGGTTTAGGGTTTAGGGCTAGGGTTTAGGGCAGCTACATGTTGTAGGGTTTTGAGGTTCAGGGTCTTTGGGGAGGCAGGGGGTGATGGAAGGCTTAAGGGCTGTTTGGGAAGCGGGAGAGGGGCTTTGTACTAATGTACAAATATCTTAAGACATTTTTTCATACTCACACAGTGACGCAGTCATAACATAGTATAAAACATGTACCAGTATGATACAAGAATATACTAAAATTACCAGAGCGCTTAATTGCTGCATAGTCAGAGAGAGAGCGAGAGAGCGGGGGTCCGGGGTCCGAGACTCCCTGTGCAACAGGAGGCCCTGAGTGCCCTTTGTGGTTCTTCCTTGTGCTTTCTCAAAGTTTTTGCCACAATTCAAGGCCAAAGAAGGATATCCGAATCTACACCTTAAGCCCTAGAATTGCAGAAAAAAACTGTCCGAATCGAAGCCCTAAACCTGAACCCTGTATATTGGGATGTGCCCCTTATGCTGGCAGTCCTGAATGGGGATTAGAATAGGGGGGTACTGTCATCCCCACTTACGGAATGTTAGGATAAGGGGGAACATCCCAACCTGTGTTTATGGTGTTCGGGGCCCAAAACCCATGAGTATGTGGTTTAGGATATTTGGACCCTCCGGGTAATTTCACAGACCTGGTAGCCCAGTGGTACGTACTCTTTACACTTTTTTTGCGTTCTGGGTTCCCTTACAAAGTAACCCTAAACCCTAAACCCTAAACCCTAAACCCTAAACCCTAAACCCTAAACCCTAAACCCTAAACCCTAAACCCTAAACCCTAAACCTCAACCCTTATTATTATAATGTGGTTACTGGGCTACTCAGTAGAGCATCTCCGACCGCTTGTGGCTTCAGGGTTTAGGTTTTAGGATGGCGGGTCTCGGGCTTAGGGTGTCTCAGGGTGCAGGACGATCAGGGTCCATATCATGTCCACATCATGACGCGGACCTGAAAAGGGACAGTCATGTCTCGGACTGCCCTCTACCTTGGGGTTTAGGGTTTAGGGTTATGCAAGCCCAAGCAAGGTCCGACAAGAAGCTCCGCACAACAAGTCCCAACCCGAACATGAACAAAAACCCTAAACCCTTTGCCCTAAGCCCTATATAAGCCTAATAGAGATGAGGAGTCGCATGAAACGATTGAGTAGATAAGCAATCAAAAGAACTCAAGCCAGATACTCTTACAACCTAGCGATAAACACACCATCATGTACATATTTGTCTGTTAACATATATACATATATGTGTACATGTACGCAAGGCCTTTATGTTTTTTGAATATAGGCCCAACGGCAGGCCGTTGTCTTCGCAGGGGTTGTGGCAGCTCGGGAGGCTCGGGACGCGGTCAAGGCGGTCCAACAAACCGGCGCTTCGGAAAGTGCAGGTTTTCAGGCTGCTGCTGGAGCAGTTGCGGGCGCAGGGGGTGGCAGAGGAGGTGCTTTAGAATGGTTGAGGCTGTGCAGCACCAGGAGCCCCGAAGATGGTGCGTGTCCCTTATTGTGGGTTTTGTCCGCCCCACGTGGAATCCATAATTTCAGCGCACGTGCCTTCATGGGCTCAGCCGAGGTCCGCATGGCTGTGTCTAAGAAGGAAGGGTGGTGTCCAGTGTTGGGACTGCGCCCCGGAAGGTTGCTACCTAGGCCACTTCAAGGCGCGGCGTTGGAAGGCGTGGGCCACAGCTCGGAGAACGTGAGTGAATGGTACAAGGGAGGTGCTCAGAGGGCTGGGGGAAAGATGGCGGTGGCGGGCGTGGGGCCGGGCAAGAGCCGGGGAGCAAGTGGACATCGCTGTCTCGCTTGTCTATGGTGGAGGGGAGCGCGCCTGCGCAAGCACCAGGTTGCCTGGTTCAGTTAACAGCTGTTGTCGATTTGTTGGAGCTTCCTGTCTGACTGTTTTGGTTTTCGGACAGCTGCGATTCGTGCTGAGGGGTAGCTTAAAAACACTCGCGTGCAGCGTATGTTGGAAGCACGGAGACTTCCTTTGCTGCCCACGCGCGCCACCTCCTATAAGGAAATACGAAAAACTCCAAGTGCTGAAGCTGCTGCAGCTTGCGAAGAACTTGCGACATGCCAAATGAAGCGCGCGGAAGTTCTGGCGCGGGCCAGTACACGCCCCCTTTGGTCTTTTATGGAGTGGAAGAGTTGGTGCAGCGAACTTGCGCAAGGAAGATGCCCGACAAGGCCAAACTGCAATTAAAGAAAGGGAAAAGCAGCAAGCAAGCTGCTTTGAAAGTATATAGCTGAATATAGCTTTCCCAAGATGAAAACACAAGAAGACACATTAAATGATACACCATTATAAGCCTAAGAAGACTCCTGTAAAGAATGTAATCAAGAAGTGATTCCTAACAAGGCCAATATGCCAAAAACACATGTATGATATTTATGATCAAGAGGACAAGTTTTATGATTGTAAATGAGAGTTCATTATTTTCTGTGAAAAAAACAGCGAGCACACGGAGATCTCTCTGCACTCAACCGCCTCCTTGGATCTTGTTTCTTAAGCCATGCTTTCTCCGAGGAGGGTGCTCTAAATTGCTATTTGTTTCTCATGGCCGAGTGAGTGGGTCGAGCGATATCTGTGAATCTCGCACGGCTCTCGATTTCTATGTCAAAGAGCCGTGTTTTGCAAACTTTTCAAGCTGTAGTCACTTTCAAGGCTTGCTGATGCCGACAAGGGTGCATCACCGGGGGCCCCATCAACCCTTAGAAACCCTGAAGCCTTAAAGCTCCAAAACCCTAAGCCCTAAAACCCCTAAGTCCTCTAAATGCTCCAAATCCCTAAAACCCTAAACCCCAAGAGCAGCCCGCCCTAAACCCTAAGCCGTTGCAAATAGGGCCCCACGGACGCACCTCCACGCGGAGATGGTCCGGAAGCGTTGGGGACCCAACGCAGGGATGGGACTTCGGGTTCAGGGTTTAGGGTTCAGGGTTTAGGGTTTAGGGTTTAGGGCTATAGATGTTCACTTCCGGACTTCGGGCCGCGGGGTAAATTTCGCAGGGGAGGGGGGCGTCTGCCCTAAGCTGTTTAAGGCAACCCCAACACTCCCAAAACCCTGAGCCCTGAACCCGAAAAGGCTCGATGATTTTGACAAATCTCCGACTCTGGGTAAACCAACGGGTGCCCTTTTGCCCTTTTTGCTCTTTCTTCGGCTTCTGGGGTTTCTCTTGCACATGTGTTTCCGATTCTGAAAACATTTTGAGTTTAAGGCTTAGGGCTTTGGGCTTATGGTTTAGGGAAGTACAGTAGCGTTCAACCCTAAACCCTAAACCGGGCCCCATTAACAACCCCAGCGCTAGGATGGAAGAGCCTCAGGGGAGGTTCTCTTGGATGGACTACCACACCCCAGAATGCCTCAAAACTGGCCCTTTAAAGGGATTCTAGGGAAATTCTAAACCCTAAGCCCTAAAACCTAAACCTTGACCCCCCCAACCCTAAAACCTCAACCTTAAACCCTAAACCCGAAACCTCAAACCTCAGACCCAAGCACCCTAGCTGGTGAAACCTCTATAAACCCTGACCCCATCCCAGCACAGTGGCATAGGCTTTGCTTGGCAAACGTGCTGCACCCTAAACCCTAAACCCAAAACCCAAAACCCAGTTTGGTTTACCTTCGGTCCCGGGAGTTTCCCAGGCTTGGGGTTCTAATCGGGTTTGGAAATCTGGGGCTGGGCGGAGTTTGGGACGGCAAATTCAACTCGAGTTTGAAAACAATCTTTGTGCTTTGGGTTGGGTCCTGGGAGGGCCTTGAGGGGGAATTGACCCGCATGAATTGTCCAGGGCGCCAGCCGCGCTGGCGGACCCGAAGCCCCAAACCCTAAACAGTGCCACAGAGGTAGAGATCCCGTGAAGTCGCCGAAGACAGCGGTGGAGTCGGCTCTTCGCGCGCTGCAGGCAACGCATGGTGCGAGAAGCATGTACTTTTCAGGGTGCAGGGTTTAACGTTTAGGGTTTAGGATTTAGGGTTCAGCGTTAAGGGTTTAGGGTTTAGTTCGGGTTCAGGGCTCAGGGCTGAGCGTTAGGTAGCGTGTAGGGTTTGGGGTCTAGGGTTATAAATGACTTCCAAACGGTTTTCGGGTCAAGGCTTAGGGGACTTGGGGGCGCCGGGGGGCTTGGGATGAATCCTGAGAAAGAGTTTCGCGGCTTAGGGTTCAGGATTCAGGGCAAGTTTAGGCATTATGGGCTTTGGTGGTAGCTTGGTGTTGGTGCTCTGGTAAACCCTGAAACCCTCTGACATTGTTAACCCTGAATTTGCCTCAACAGAAGCCCTCAACCTTATAGAAAACCCTGCACCCCAAACCTAAATCCACCCCCTTGAGCCCTAAGCCACCAACCTCAAGCCCCTATAAAAGACACACGAGTCAGCGGCCGACGCCCCCCACGCGTGCACTTGCTGCAGCGAAGAGACGGTTCGGCAGTGCAGCAAGAAACGCTGCTAGCATCCGACCTCCCTCTTCGGTGTTGAAGCTACTGAGAGCTAAACCCTAAACCCCATACCCTATACTCTATACCCTACTTGGAGGTCCATGGTACTTAGTAGCCCAATTAGAACTGCACTTCTAACCCAACTATAACCCTATTACAAGTGGGTTATAACTACACTTCTTCTTGCGTTATGAGTACCCTGAACCTCCAAGGGTACCCTATACCCTCCACCCTCTACACCCAAACCCTAAACCCTAAACCCTAAACCCTGAACCCTGAACCCTGAACCCTAAACCCTAAACCCTAAACCCTAAACCCTAAACCCACCCTACACCGGCTTCCTTACGCCCAGTCTGGAGATGCGGCTGCGGTGGAAGAGCTGCTGCGCAGGGAGGGCGAAGAGCCTGTGGACGAGGACGGGGCCACCCTAAACCCTAAACCCTAAACCCTAAGCCCTATGCCCTAAGCCCTAAGCCCTAAGCCCTAAACCCTAAACCCTAAACCCTGACCTGGGATCCTCCAAGACGCACGCAGAGCTGCGGGGGAAGGACTGGCAGCGCCGCTACTGCGACTCCGCGCGCGTCTACTGGGACCAGCTCCCATGGCTGCACCGCATGGTTTTGGGTTCTGGGGGTTTTAGGGTTTAGGGTTTAGGGCTATGGGGTGGCCCTCTATCTCCCTTGGAAGGGTTTTCGAGGGGGATACAACCCAGAGGGTGCAAGTACCCAAAATTTGTGGCTTTAATTCCCAAGGGTTTGTGCCCTAAAACCATAAACATATGGTATTTGGGCCTTTTTCGTCACTGAGAACCAGAAATGGAACAAGCAGTGAAGAGTCTGAAGCCCAAAACCCTAGCGGCTTGGCTTTTCAGGTGTTTTTTTTTTTTTTTTTTTTTGGGGGGGGGGGGGGGGGGGGGGGGGGGGGGGGGGCGTTTAGGGTTTAGGGCTCAGCCTTGTAGACCCCCTGTCGCCTTGAAGGTTTAGAGTTTTGGGTTTGGGGTGTAGGGCTTAGGGTTTAGGGCCTAGCCTTGTGTAGCCCCCGTCGTACTTCCATGTTGTTGGTTGCATTGCTTGAAGCCCTCTACACGACTGGACCCTAATAACACCGAATCCTAGGGCCAGTAGTGCCCTTATTCCCTTTTTGGGGTGTTTAGGTTCCCTTGTAAGCCCTTTAAACTTTAAAGCCAAAAAAGGGCGCCCCTTGTTTTTAATCCTAAGTTACTGGACAGCCTAGAATCCCTCAACCCTAAGCCTATGGCCATTCAGGGTTCCCACTTGCTAATCCTTCATGGGTAGTTGCATGGGCTCTTGATATGGGCCCTAACCTCCCTCAAAGGGTTCTCATGTATGGGCCCTTAATGTGTATAGGGTATATAAGGGGTCTGTAAGGAGAACCCTTTTAACGGCCCATACTAAGGGACCATGTAACTGCCCTTAGAAAAATAGCCTGCTGAACCCCAAACCCCCAAACCCCCATGAACCCTAAACCCCTATATACACCCCTATAGACCCTAAACCACTTACCCTACACCCTAACCCTTATCACCCCTCTATTTCCGGCCGCTACGCCTTTGGGGTTTAGGGCTTAGGGTTGAGGGTTGAGGGTTGAGGGTCAGGGCCTGAGACTTGCGAGATGTTGGCAGGCTACTGGCTTCGAAGTTCGGGGTGGTCCCTGATTTCTGGGGCTTATGGATCTTAGGGTTGGGGAGTAGAGTACATACGGAAACTCTCAGCCCTAAACCCTAAACACGCAACCCTTAATTAGCCAAGTGGGTTGCCTTCAGTTGCCACAAACTGGTACTTCTGAGGTTTTATCGAGAACGGACCGTCAACTTCTTCAAAGACCGACACTACTTGCGCGAGGACGTTGCATGCAACCTTTCTGCATGCGGTGCACACTGTTCTTCTAAACCCTAAACCCTAAACCCCTAAGCCCCTAAACCCCTAAACCCTAATCCCCTAAACCCCTAAAACCCTAAACCCTAAACCCTAAACCCGGTTCACTTGGCATATTCGTATATTTCCGGCATAAACTTCCTACCTCGTCTGTGCAGAAGAGACGACTTCTGAGCCCTGTAAGCCCGAAACCCTAAACCCAAGCCGGCGAAGACACAAAACGAGTTTTCGCAGATATGAAGGCCTGTGTATCAATCATCAGCAACTACCAGAAGCCTCAAGAAGCCGAGGATTGCTTTACTTTGAGGGTTGGGATTCAAAGGGATACTTGTGCACCTCAAGAAAGATTTCGGCGAGTCAAGCCTACGATCAAGGGCTCTAAAAACCTTTCTCGGGCAGCAAGTACTGGTTTCATAGCCCTTGTCTTAGACCGTCAGCTGTTCGTTTGGTGTCATTTCTTCCCCCCCCGAATATTAAACCCACTCATGGGTGAACCCTACTCCCTCATCCCTAAACCCTTAAAAAGGGGGCGCACATGCTTTCTGCCGAGCATCCTACAGAGCTCCGAGGACGTTTACTGTTTTAGGGCTTGGAGCTACACGGTTGATGGCAGGGTTTAGGGCTTAGAGCTACACCCTTGGCAAAGCAACCTTAGGGCAATGGATTGCTTCGGTTTTGGGTTGCAAGTTTGTCGCCCTACCCTCCACCTCACACCCGAACCCGAAACCCGAAACCCTAAACCCTAAACCCCAAACCCTAAACCCTAAACCCTAAGCCATGTGTGGCTACCGAAGCCTCCGCCCCCCTTGTGGCTCCGAAAACCTAAACCCCTCCCAAGGGCGCCTTGCAGGACACTCAGCCCTGAAGGTTTAGGGTGGCTAGTATTTCGTATGCAAAATTTAGCATGTAGTATGTAGCATGATGTATTTAGTATTTAGCATTGAGGTATTTTGTTTGAGGGAGGGCGCCTACAGCCTTCCATACCACGCTACCAAAACTCTGAACCTAACACACCTGTTCAGCCTTAAAGACCCTCGGCGAATACAACCCTAGACCCTAAACATCCTGAACCTTGTATGTCCATCTAAGCTCGCCTCTCCACTAGTCACTACAAGCCCTCCAGTCTCTAGATTCCCCCAGGTCTTGCCAGACCCTTAGCCCCTGCAGCACCCTAAGCCACTAAACCATTGAAGCCACTGCTAAACCCTACCCTAGACCCTCAACACTAAACCCCTGAAGACCGACACCCCACTAAACCCTAAACCCTAAACCCTAAACCCTAAACCCTAAACCCTAAACCCTAAACCCTAAACCCCAACACCCCCAAACTGCACCGGCGCGCAATGCTCCGGATCTTTGCGATCTCGGGGGCAGAAGTCGCCAGTTTCGGCCCCCTGCCAGGCATTCAAGGAATTTCTAGGGTTTAGGGTTTAGGGCTTCAGGAGTTCAGGGCTTCAGGAGTTCAGGGCTTAGGGCTTCAGGAGCTGGGCTCTATGAACTTAGGGTCTTGATTGTAGAGTTTGCCGGGCCCTTGATGATACTAGTAGTTTCCTTATTCTTGGGGTAAAAGGTAGATGCCACGCCCAAGAAGAGCATGCAACTAAGCGTCTAGGAAGGCTTCAGGGCTTCTAGGCTTCGGCATTCTGTAAGAAATATTTGACATACCCATGTGGCCTGCCCCTAAATGCAGTGAAGGCATCTACCAGAATTTGTGGAATGCGAGCGGAGGGCTTCTCCTGGCCGCAGACCTAGGACATTGGTTGAGCTCCTAAACCCTGAACCCTAAACCCTAAACCCTAAAGCCTCCAACCCTCTTAGCTTGGGATGTAGGAGGGGCCCTTGAAGCAGTTTAGGGTTTAGGGTTTAGGGTTTAGGGTTTCGGGTTTCGGGTTTAGGGTGTAGGGTGTAGGGTTTAGGGTCAACCCTAAAGCCCTCAACAACTTTGGTAGCCCAGTGGCACCCTTTACTCTTTTTGGTTCAAGGTTCCCCTATAAAGTAACCAACCCCAAAAGGGGTGCCCGCTATGGCTACGGGGCTACCAAGACAAGAGATCTCTACTTGGAGGTTCATGGCTACTTATCAGTAGAGTTATAGGTATAGGGTAAGCATGGTCATAACGTCATTCAGGAAATTCAGGGTACTTTCACCCTACTTATTTGTTTAATCATGAACCTCCAAGTGTGTGAGAGACCCAGGCGAAGCAGCTCTTGATGAGGCGGCTGCGTCGCCTGCTGGCCTCCTTTGTTTCGTGAAAGGGGAGCTGGAGCGCGCGTGCCTTGGGCATTGATGTTTAGGGACCCCTTGCACCCCGAACCCTGCACAAATCCCACAGAACTCCCCCCCCCCCCCCCCACCGCCCTCTCCCCCAAAGCATCGAAGCCCTTGACCCTTAACCACCGGTTCCTGTTTTGGGGAAGGAGGGAGCTGGGAGCTCTACATTATATCCCCCTATATATATATATACGTATATATGTACATATATATATATATACATATATATACATAATATACAAATCGTTGACGGCGTTTACGAGGGTACCCACTTCCTTCATTCCCCGCTCAGAGTAGGTGAACGAGCGCGAAACTCACACCGCCCAACCCCAAAAGCACAGCCGAGCTGGGGACCTTCAGACTTCAGCATGCCATTTAGGGTTTGGGGTTTGAGGTTTAGGGTTTAGGGTTCAGGGTTTAGGGTTCAGGGTTTAGGGTTTAGGGTTTGTAAACCCTAAAGGGTCGAAACCCCCAGCCCTTTCCTTTCCAGAGCCCCAAGTTGTGTTTGGCTATCTCTGGTCATGAGGGTGAGATCTTTAGCGGGATGCTTGAGGGGTATAAGGAGGGACCTCGAGAAGGGGCCCCTTAACCTTATTCCCCTCTATAACCCTTGTATATACCTTGCATTGTCCCTATATACCGAAGTAGCCCCAAATAAAGCCCCAAAGAGCCCCTAAGGTCCCCTAAACCCTAAACCCTAAACGTATAAGGGTCCCACCTTTAGTTCCTTGAGATTCAGGACTATAGGTCGTCTAGGGTTTAGGATTTTGGGCTATCTAGAATTTCAAAGTTTGCAGTTTCATGTTTTTGTTTGTTTGTTTGTTTGTTTGTTTGTTTGTTTGTTTGTGTGTGTGTGTGTGTGTGTGTTTGTTTTTGTGGTGGGCTTAAAGTTCAGCTATGCGAAGGAATCATAAACCTGGGTTTGGGATTTAGAGTTTAGGGTTTGGGGTTTCGGGTTTAGGGTTTAGGGTTTAGGGCTAGGGTTTAGGGTTCCCCCCCGATCCCTCCCAAGGCTCGGCATTCCCCGCTTCCGCCTGCGCCTTCTTCGGGGCGAGGTGGGAGAGCTCACCCCCGCAAAAAACCAAGCCTCACACCCCAAAAGCCCCCAAGAACCAGTAGAAAAAAGAGTTAGGGTTTAGGGTTTAGGGTTTGGGGCTTAGGGGGTAGGGCTTAGGGTTTAGGGTTTGGGGTTTAGGGTTTAGGGTTTAGGACCCAGAAACTGTTAAACCCTGAACCCGAAGCCCGACAGTAAATCCTCCGAAATCCATAAACCCCCTCCTCAAGCCAGAACTGTCGAGCCCGAAACCCCGAAACACTCAACCATCAACCCTACACCCTCAATCCCAAAACCCAAGGGC